TGTTTATCATCGGCGTAGTGAGAAAGGATTATGAAGAATAATGGCCAAAATATAGAACCCTGGGGGATACCTGATAATATATGTAATGCTGTAGATATTTTATTATTATACCCAATTAGACTGAAAATGAAATTAACAGGTACAAGTCAAGATTGGATATATGAATATGCTTGCAGTGGTTTTTACTTTCACAGCAAATGACATAATTGATAAGTACGAATTGAGGAGATTGTTAACTTAATTTTTCTGAACCGCGGAACAATGGTAGGGTGAATATGACAGATGATAGGAATTCTAGAATCTACAAACAAATATGGTCTATAGTCTTCAATAGGTTATTCATGTTTCAAAATTATTGGTGATCATAAATATTATAAAGTTGGTTGATTTGTTTCTTTGTTGATTGTTATTCATGTCTGTGATGATTTGTTTGCTTCAGTAGAAGAATACCTATCACCTCAGTTTTTCATTTTCTTCGTGTCTTACATTTTCTGAATAATATCATTCTATTTATCTCCCGGAGATCGCCCAAATCATTTCTATATTAATATGGGACAATTCAGAAAGTACCAATTTGATGAAAACATTGGATTTTTTTTACTGATTAATCAATTGTTAAATAAAATAGATTCCATATTCCGAACAACTAAATAGCAGTTGCAGAACCAATCTAGTAGCTTTCAAGTAAAACTCAGCCAGCTCAACACTTAGGAAAAGAAATTGTTATTGTTTCTATCAAAACAAGTGAATGAAGTAAAATCAGTAATTCTTCCAACAGTGAATAACAAAAGTTTTTTTGATTTTCAAGTCAAATGCTTTGGAAACTACATTTTTATAGGTAAAACTGATTTTTACATATTTCAGTATTGTTATTATTGGCGACACAATAGACCACTGAGTTGCCTAAGTCCTGACTCTTTGTAATCTTCCTAAAAATGATGATTAATACAGATAGTGTATCAACAAGTCACCATTGAAAACTTTGGCCTCAGAGTATCACCCTGTATTCGTACTGAATAGGGTCGCGGATTACCTAATATACACAGGGCTCCCTTAAGCGAGCTAGTGGCACGCCCTGAGGCGGGGCAAGCCTGTCTTTGAATAAGACATGTTCTACACCATATATTATTCATTTAGCACGCGGGCCAAAAATACGACGTGTTTGATGAGAATGGTGAAAATAAAGTTAGGTACTGGGTTAGTTTACTTAATACACGTTTCACCTACTCCTGGGTTTTCCATCGTTATGATGAATAAGGATCGCCAGCTTCAACACAAGAAAATTTCAAAGTACTGTGTGTTTTCGATAATTGATCGGCGAGAAGTTATACTTTTCAAATTCTAAGTTTCAACAAATTGAAATAAAGAAATGTAAGCTTTCGCGGCTGGCGTCAACGTTTTGATTGGTTTCCGGGTTTTGCCGTGGTCTTCTTTGGTTACAATCTCCAAACGTTTCAACTGCAACTACGGCAGTCATCTTCAGTGGCATGGTCGAAAAACTCTTCTTGACGTATCAACAGAAATTGAAGCTCTCATTTCTGCCGTGTCATTTATAGTGCTGATTTTCCGCGCACTTTCTGTAATGGCGGGTTCGCGCGTAATTCCCGCGCGATGTGGGTGACTTGGCTTCGTTTTGGCTCTTTTCGCCATGGAAGTCCACTTGGCCCAGTAGCGGCGAATTTCTACATGGAAAAATTCAAGGAAAGAGCCATTAATACTTCAGAAAAACAGCCGAAGCACTGCTTGAGGTATATAGATGACAATTTCGTTGTTTGAAGCCATAAAAGAAGAACTTCCGAACTTTTTGAATCATCTGAATAGCTTTCATCCGAGAGTGCAGTTCACAAAGGAATCAGAAGAAAACCTCCAAATTCCATTACTTGATGTTTTAGTCATCAAGGAAGGAAGAAAACACATACAGATTGATACCTATAAAATGGATCCAACCACCATCCAAACCAGAAACCAACCGTCATCAACACCCTAGTGAAAGGATCGTTGAGAATATGTGAAGAAAGGTACGTCGACGACAAAATAAAATACCTTACAACTGTGTTACAAGCGAACGACTACGACAGAAAAGATATAATCTGGGCTACGCGTCCAAGGGAGACGAAAATAAACACCAATGAAGATCATCCTCAAGGCCCTGCCTATCTGCTATACGTAAAAGGTGTCACCAACCGATTCGAGAAAATTCTGAAGAAGGAGAAAATTAACACCGTCTTCAAACCAACGAAGAAAATATCGGAGTATCTGTGATCAGCTAAAGACAGTAAAGATCCACTCAAATCAGCGGGAGCATACAGGATTCCATGTAACTGTGGTGATGTCTATATCAGTCAGAGGAAAAGAAGCATTGGCATCCACCTAGTCGAGCACAAGTGGAGTTGCTGATTGAGTAAGTTCAAGAAGTCTACAGTCGCTGAACAGACACTGTCCGACGGGGAACACAAAGATCCATAGAAATACACAAACACCAAGAGAACTTCAACAGAAAGGAAGACATAACATGTCCACCAAAGATCTGGAAGACAGCATTGAAAAGCGCCAAAACGAAGCCAAGTTACCCAAATCGCGCCACTGAAGATGACTGCTACAGTTGCAGTTGAAACGTTTGGAGATTATAACCAAAGAAGACCACGGCAAAATCTGAAAACCAACCAAAACATATAGGAATAAAGCAAAGCAGATGTATCTGTTAGGCAACCTTGCCAAAAGCCCTTGCTGTTGGAGGTGGAGTGGGGGAGGAGAAGGTGTCTGTTAGGTTTCCGTCCATTATAATTATTTATGAAATGACTACGGTCCATGATCGGATTCCAAATGACTATATAGTTTTGTGATTCATATATTGATTACTATTATGTTCCAAAAAATACTTACTGATATTTGATGATAAATTAGGCGTGTTTATAGCGAAACCCGTGTTGAGTTTCTGTAAAACTGTACAGTGAAAATTTCACAATGAAGTATGAAGTGGTTCTTGAATACTCCCACGGTAGGCAAAATAAATATACTTCTATACATGAACTATGATCAGGTTCAGAAATAATATATTTTTCGATATTATTCCTGTTTATATATTATTCAACCTTTAATTTTCATCCTGAAAGTTTATCTTGATTCACATTAGACCTACATGATGTGTACTTAGGAGAAATAAAGTTCGAATAGGAAACGTTTTTTAAGAGATATTCTAACAATTTGTAATATTTACTCTTTATATCCTATACATAGGTACTTTATTTTTGTCGCGCATTGGTACAAGAGAAACGAGAAACATTCAAGAAAAGCTCGTATCATAAAATGATTCACTCTAATGGTGTTGAATCTCAAGTCATACTGTGCTTCGCCTGAAGAAATGAAATTAGTATCCCTAAAATTTACAATAATTTGAAATTAAATAAAAATACTTATCCTCGGCCGCAGCTTTGATGAGTTCTTAATAATTTGAAGTGAAGTTGTAAGAAAAAGTATCCCACACATATTTGTTCGACAGTTTTTATTTGAATCATGTAAATTTTGCGATATACCTAAGGATCAGATATCAATAAGTACATACAAAAATCAATGAAAGTTCGGCCGAGGCTGTTTTACAACTTAACCTAGGGGATAGCATGTATTATATAGAAATATAAAAAAGGCCAAAAAGTATCAGCTGATATTTTTTAGAATTCAATTTCATGTTACGGGTTATAGATAGATCCAGTAACTTTTGTAGATAGCTGTTAATTTTTTCCATTGCCACCTGCCACTTACTTAGAGGAAATCGATAATATAACTGAGTGTCATCTGCATAATGATGAACTGTGCAATTATCAAATCAATTATTTTATGAAAGTCAGATATATAGAGAGAGAACAGAATGGGGCCAATGATAGAGCCCTGCGGTACTCCATAGTCAACTGGTAAAGCACTAGAACACTTTCCATCCAGACATACTGACTGAGTCCGATTTCTGAGGTAACTTTTCAATAGATCTACAATCCCTACACTAAATCCGAGAAATGACATTTTCCTACAAAGAATGTTGTGATCTAATGTATCGAATGCTTTACTGTATTCCAAGAGTACCATGGCAGTTACTTCATTATTATCAGTTGCTTCGAATAAATATTCGGTGATGTTGGGTGATATCTGGGTGATACATATTTCAACCAACCTTTTACAGCTTTATGGACCAAAAAATATTGAATATTCCAAAAATGATGTCGGTTATATGAATTTTGAGTGCTACTGATAGATGTACACTCAGGAAATCGTTCAAAGCTACCGAATATGCTCTCGAATGATATTACTTTCAATGGCTAATGGCTATAAAAGACTTATCACCTGACTTTATGCCTGCCCTCGTCTTCAATCAACGGCACTAAAATTATAATTTTAATTTACGTCCGGTCGCAGTCGAAGTAGTAAAAATCCGGTAAACCGGTGATAATAATAATACTACCGTCTGGCTTCACACAATTTTACGATATCTCGCTATGAAGAAGCGTTATCTTTTTCGAAAATCAATAAAGACGGTACAATTAGTGAGGTATTTCGGTCTTAGGACCTTTAATATACTCTTTAATTATTGAAGACCACCAGTGGTGACAATAAAAAAGCTTTTTCGTCACTGATATTTTTAAATTAGGTGCATCTTGAAACGGCTTGTGTATAAAGGTATTCGAATTGAACAGAAACTGAAGGTTATGCAAATCGTTTCATTACACACGGCTTGTCAAAGAGAACTCGTCGAACTGTTGAAGAATTTACGACAGATTTAGCCTCATACTATAACTCCTAAAATTATAATCCGAGCCTGATCGCGAAATAATTTTGAAGAAAATATGATTTCTCTGGTTCACAACATTCGACATGATAACTACCATTATTTTTTAGTTTCTCAAGCATATATCCAAATTGTCAGTAAAAACAATGAATAATATTCGCATATTTTTCGAAACTAAAGCAAAATGTGAGTTAATAAACATATTTGGATGGAATGGAATACTTACAAATCCATGTTTGTCCGATATATTGTTGGTCAACTTGAGTTTGTGGAATGACACTACCTTCTGCATCCACTGCTCCCCAGTAGACGGGCTGTCAGGATGTATGTACATTCTTTTTGGCATTTCAGGATCCGCCTTGCCAGCTACCATCCATCGACTGGAAAATTGATTAACCAATAAATTAACTAAAAATGGTACTATTTTTCTTGATTCAATGAAAACAAGAACGCAAGCCAAAAAAAGTATTACTTCAAGTGGACATTTGAAACATTCACTGGATTCAATCGGATAATTGATTATAGGCTAGAAAACTACCTAAATTAATGAAGTCCTCCTTGAAAAAGGTTGATGAATTAATAAATATAACTTGGTAATTATTTTAGAAGACTACCTATGATTTTCTGCTAAGAACAAACTTAATAGTGACAAACTATTTAAATCAATTTCATCTTTCATGAGATACTAGTAATTTATGAATTTACTAATTTGCAAACTTTCCAGAAGGTAACATTTAATTTTTTTTCTAAAATGTAGGGATAGGGTTTTGAATTCATGATTGAACTCATATCTCTGTAAGAGACTGTTTCTGTGTTCTCTTATGCTTGCTTCAAATGTTCTTCCAACCTGATCTATGTAGATGGAGATGGAAGAAAATAATTCAATGAATATTCTAGATTTAACAATAACCTCAATAGATAATAAACACAATTTTTCAGTTTTTCATTGTCATTCATAGTTCTCCCAACCATCCAACCATCTATGTTAACACAAAGTAACAGCATTTAACAATATGATCCACAGACTGGTGGATGTTAATTATTTTGATGTGAATTCTAATCAAGGAGTGAATTCAATTAGAAAAATTGCAATATATTTTAATTATAATAACAATCTATTATATATACGAATCTGTCAAAAAAACTATACAGTCCAGCCATAAAAAGAATCTTCCGATTCTAAGAGACAAGAAGGATGATGAATGTTAACTTATTTAGGCTAACCTAGTATGAAGATTCCGAATTTTTCACAGAATAATGGTGTCTATAATCATAGCTTATAGAAATGGTGTCTTTAAGCATGACTTATAGAAACCAATAACTCAAACATGCATATTTGAAATAAAAAAAACAAGAGTTTGCTGTCAGATAGATCAAGAATTTATAAACTGTCGTGTTCGATATTTTACATATGGCAAACGATAAGAACATTTAAAGCACGCATGAAATAACATAGAAATACTTTCCAGAAACTCAACTTATGCTACACATCCTTCAAAACCTTTCATTTTCAGAAGAAAAGTTGGGAGGTTAACTTTTCGGAAAGTATGGAAATTATTAAATTCAAAAATTCTCATAACCTATGAACGATCAAATTTATTCGAATAGCTCACCTCTGCAGAAAATCTTTCGTAGCCCTCTATAAGAATAATTGCTATGCAATAATTCATTCATTTGTTGACCTGTTTTCACGAAGATTCAATAAACTGAGAATTATACAGTGCGATGAAAATAGTCCCCCCACTATTAACTTTCAAACGGAACAAGATATCAAAGTTGAACAAGATTCACGTGGAGAGGTTTCATTTTTAGCACTTTTCGATATGGAAGACAATAGCGTTGAATCATTCGTCGCCAAGAGGGCGCTATCAACATTTTTTACTAATAAAAAGGGGGAACTTGTAATTACTTCTTTGATAGGTACTTCGAATCTCTATTCAATACTTTTTTATCGCTGGAAATCGAATTACCGTTCTCGGGTAACTAACATCTAGAGTCTTTATATCAGGTAATCAAATATCCGATTGGCCTTAGATTTCAACTAATATTGTTAGAGTATGTAGATGGAGACTATAAGATGGTTTAATTAGAGAGAGTAATTTATCATTTCTGTCTGAGGAAGCTATTATATAACGAAACGAGAGTCGCGGTTATTGTAAAACCTGTTATAGTGAAAATATTGCAGTAAACTATATTTGTAAGTGTTTGCACAAATGTCAATCGGACATAATCGTCGTTTCATTAGCCGATGAACTATTCATTATTCTACTGGTAGGAGGCTAGAAAGTCTCATAAGCCTATCTAAATAATTTGTCATCAAAAGATGAATGTTATAAACATAGTTATTCAATAAATTTAACAACAACAGTCAATAATTCCATTATTGACTGTTGTTGGAGTTTCAGAATAGAAAAAAATGTAAGGTATGAATACATAAGTATAACATGGTAAATATATTCTAAGAAACGTGTTCTGTGACGAACACAGAGAGGGATAATATTAGGAGTTTTTTTTTTTCGAAACATATTGATTTACCGTTTATCAGTTCACACTTTTTGACCTTACTGAATTGAAGAAACCATTCACTAAACATTTTTCATTGAAAATGAGAATGTCCATCACTACATTACTCTTTGTTCAAATATAGATTCAAGCTATCTTTTTCTTTTCACTGAACAATTAGGTACGTTTATAATTATTTCAAACATGCATATGGAGTATTTGTAGGATGATGAGACAACTTCAACCTAACATGCACATAAAAACTAATCGCTACAAAACTACCAGAAACATATGGAACTGAATGAATTCGAGTGAAGAAATAACAATATTAGACGCAATAAAAATAAATAATCGATACCTTGAGCAATTAGCATAACTGAATAGATGCATAAATACCTGTCAGTGGACTTTCATTAGCACTTATTGCAAATGGAGAAAATGAGATAAAATACGTGTTACTCGAAAATAATGAAGTACCCAGATAACAGACCTTTTTTCTATTGCGATTTTTGATAATTCTACTGTTTACTAGTCTTGTCGATAAGTTCCATACCGTCAACTATGATCATGTAATTTTGTTATTTCTTCGAAGTACTCGTACTACTTTCAAACGCATGCTTCGTGCTTTTTTCTACACACATTGGGGGCATCTGTTTTTCCAAAACAAACGCCCGAATGATAAAATTTCATATTCGACAGATTTATCGGTCTAATTCAACCAAAAAACTCACAAATCTAATATTTATTTTAGTAAAAATGATCAAAGTCTTCAATGGTGCTGATGATTTTTCTGAACTAAATTTAAATAACAATTTCAAGTCATATATCGACAATTTTTACTCAAGCCACCTGCACAAATTCAAAAATATTTTTCCAAACACAATTGAGCAATTCGTTCAGATGCGATGATGAATTGAATGGGTTTGAATCCCCACGAATAATTTTGTTTCATTTTTTCATTTTACGTAGTCTTGAAACAAACAAAATTTGTCGAGATTTCACTGTTCTTTGATTTTCATTTGTTTAATGCTGAACTGTGATCGGAATTAAAGTAGTTGCTGAGAACTCAAATATATTTATGGCAAGTTCTTTTCTAATGGGAAAGTCTCCAGTTGGTTTCCTTTTTGGTTGCCTTGAGACCAAGTTATGTTTTGTCGAATACGAAATTGAAATCAACCTATTACGGATTTGGATAGAATCTAACCTGTTATGGAATTTATATCTACAGTCATCAGCAGCCACGATGTCCATTAGTAGTATATATTTGGATTTTTTGTCTAGGCCCGAAACGCGGACTTTGTAAGCAGGAAACATGCGCCTGAAACAAGTTCGATATGTCAAAAATGTCGTATTTATAATCACCTGTTGTGGAATTTATATCGGTAATCATCGGCCGCAACAATATCCAGCAGCAAGATGTATTTCGCTTTCAGATCTAGACCTGACACGCGAAACTTCATTTGGGGGAACATTTGTCTGGAAGGGCAAAAAAAATTTTCATCAGTATCTATACCATTATGTATATAAGATCAAATTGTGTTTCATTGGAGAGAAAATTCGCGCAACAGACCTTCCTCAAATCCATAATCCAAAGACCATTTTAAACATTTTCACAAAAGTTGGATTATACAGGGTTATTGCCTCAATTAGAATTCTTGCTTGAATCTAATCTTTCACATTTAGACACAAAGTCTATGTTTTCATTTGTCAACATTTCTCAACATTTTTGTTTTTTTTTCAAATAAATTTACTATATTAAATCGCAGTATTTAACACCCATGAAGTAGGAAAATCAATAATTATTTTTCAGATCCACAAACTCCTAACAGTACTTTACTGAAATGTCTTTGGAATATGTGATTTTTTCATATTTCCTGACCAATATTTTGATTTCAGGAATTACCTTGCCTTCTAAATTCTCTTGAATTCTAGAAATTAGAAATTAGCAGAATTTACCGATAGATCTTTGAAATATCGTTATTTGAACAATAGAAAAGACAACCAATTATCTTTTGAAACTAGTGGAAAAAAATCAAGTTTTCAAACAGAAATTTGATTCTTTGAGCATTGCGGGTTTGAAATTATACCTACAGAAATCGATTTTGGCTGTTGTGCAGATTATTATTTGAATCGGTTGTTATTGAAAAAACACTTGTACCAGTTCGAAAGATGTTTTTTCACTGATGACCTCATGATATGAAAAAAATATAAACTATATCAGTCAGTCAGAAAGAAATTAAGTTATTTTGAATCAATCAATAATATGTTTTCAATAATAATGAAATGAGATCATCCAATTGCAGTCATACCATACTGCCTCTTATTATATCTCCACAAGTTTAGATCCATTACTAGTACCAAAAACAAAATAAGGCTTCTACTATCCATTTGCAAACATTATATGATTTGCATGAAAAATAAAGTTTTCAAGTTTCTTCATCAACCATAGGAATGTTAAATGTGCTGTAAGCGCAAGAATAGTTAGAGGATTCACTCCTTTAGCAGAAGATTATATGAAAGGTTGAATACGAAAATGAGAAAATATTTTTGCTGGAACAATCAAACTACTTTTGCAACGCCTTGTCTTCAGTAAAAGTACTATTTTTAGAAATTGAATTTGCATCTGCAAATACAACATATCTGTTTTGGGAATTTTGTTACCTGAAAGAGGGGCAGGTTTTTTTGATACTAGTTGTTTTGGCAGTTGACTTTCTTTTATGTCTTAATCGTTATCTTTATATGATATAAAATGAAGTTCTAGTAAAATTAAAAAAAATCCTATACATCTTAACTTTCTTCATCAATATATGTTCAATTCATTATTTTTCACCAAGTTTTACTGCCCTGAACAAGCTTCCCATTAGAAGTGAAAGCTAGGTAGAGCAGAGTTTACATTTTTGATTTTTTCACTGAGAGACCCCATTAATCCATTTCACTATGAATTTCACCAATCTTTGATTATCCACTTTCGAAGACCGGTTTATATAAACCAGTCTATCGGTGGTGGGACAACCACTGATAGACCGGTTTCGGAGTACTTGCCCCTCGTCAGTATCCGGCAGGTCATACCTACAACGTCATAGGTATACATGAGAGGAATGGGACAAGGTGTTTTTCACCTGAACTTGGACATGTTATGCATCTCTCCGGAATATTATTGTTATTCTGACTCCCACCCGGAATATGTGATTGTGGAGTAGTTTCCGTTTACGACATCTAACTTTCCACTAAAGAGTTCTTAAGAATAGAGGTTTATCAATTTTTGAGTTTGTCCTCTACCAGTATTGTAATGTAATCCAAGGAACACTCCGATTTAATCTCAACCTCAGCAGTTTCCTAGTTCACGATTTTGTTTCACGAATTAAGATAAAACTAAAGATTTAAATGTCTGAGCACGCGTCTATCTCACAATCTCAGACCCAAATAAGTCGTCAAAAATTTATTGCGTCCGTTTTTTCCAACTTTTTACTTTAAAGTATCGAGTTACTTCGACAACGCCATATGGTCTGCCATCTTCTCATATGATACTACAGATATCCTCGATGTGACCTTTTGCTTCCGATGGCCTTTCCGACCTCCCGCTAGTATTTGATAAGCATAACAAGAAGAGTGATAGCAGTTCTCAATAATTTATCAGTGGAGACGTTGTCTGTAATAAAATAAATTAGTTTGGAGATAATTTTTTGTGGTTTATCACTGTTTTTTGAGGTATCCGAACGATCATTAGTTCATAATTTATTCACGACAGCTGGAGAAGAGATATTTCAATATATTAATAGAAGATATTATGTCTCATCGCATGATCGCTGTACAATTGATTGTTCATGGTGTTTCGGACAAGTCTGCAAATGAATTGATTATTCAGTTAAAAATACAAAGAAACAGTTTCCCGAGTGTCAGAAAAATTTATTACCTTTTCAGCTTCAAAGAAATCATAGTTTTGTTATATCCATTGAAATTCAATAAGGCCTTACAATGAAGTCATATTTATTTCAACTAGCTAAACACGAATGAATAAACACAAACATTGTTTATGAGAATGATCTAAGAGGTCGCACTCACAATTTGTTGTAGTAAACCAAAAACAGGATAACTTGTACAACTAATTATCTATATCACTTCACGTTTTTCCAGCCAAATAAAAAATGTAATCGATGTGGAGTTAAACCTCAAAGGAGTCTGAATCTTCATAATTGTTTCATTTGATTATTTCGTCAATTGTTTCCCAATATCATTTTGAACCGTTTCAAGTAGGCAGTTGAAACTATCTTCAAAAACGTAGGTTTTGAGTCAGAGAGAATCATATATTGCAGCAAACAAATTATTCTATCGAAGACACCGAAAAAAACTTTTTCAACAACACACTCTTTCACAAGTGTGTTCCTACATAAGTATTTTCATCTATAATGGTGATTTTCCAACGATGCACTAATTATTTGCCTTTTAATTCGCTTGTTCGCTCTGTAAATTGGATAGAGTCACTTTGCCTCTGATTGAGAAGGTACTAGAAACATAGAATCAACTAATTGAATAAGTTGACAAAACGACATTTGAATCAACAACCAATCGGGATTTTGCCAAATGCAACAGTGTGAGTCATCAGTGCAACTATCTCTAAGTAAATTTAAAACTAAACTGGATAATAATAAGTTTGTTGTAGCCGTGCTCCGTGACCTCAAAAGAGCAATTGAATATGTATGGATTAAAGGGCACACTGTACAATTGGTTATCTAATTATTTGACCAACAGAAAATAACGGGTAAGAGTGAAAGACATAAATTCTTGTGAAATTGACAATGATGTTGGAGTTCCCCAAGATAGTGTTTTGGGCCCCCTTCTATTCGTACTACATTCAGATGATATGCCATTGTTTGTTGATTGTGAATTTATGAACTTTTTTGCTGATGATACTCTATTGGCATTAGCGATATGAATCTCGAAATGACTATACAAAAAATGAATAATGCTCTAGCAAGTGTCAACAATTATTACAAAATGAAGAAACTGAAGCTGAATGTATTGAAAATAAAAGCGATCATAATCACCACCAAATTTAAATACAGCCATATAGACTCAAAAATTATTAACTTGAATTGTAGTAGTGAATTCAAATAAATATCTGGGATTCCTGATGGATAACACTCTATCGTTTACTCTGAGTATATTCATGAAATAATTTCAAAAAAATATTCTTTTTTCCTAGAATTGCTAATAATCTTTAAACCAAGTCAGGTATCACAGTTTACAAGTCAATTGTTCTGCCACACTTTGACAACTGTTCCTCTGTCTGTTTAAAATATGTTTTTCCGTTAATTAGCTGTCGCCACCATACGAACGACAACTCTCAGAAGTTGAGAAACTTGTGCGAGCTAAAGACTAACGAAGTCTTACCTTTTAACATGTGATTCCTAACATATCATATCATATCATATTCCTATCCTAAATCCATTCAATCAGAATAAGTTGTCTCAACTCCAAAAAATTCAGAATCGTGGTATGAGGATTATTTTGAAGTGCCGTAGACCCTTATTACTATTATGCTTAAAGTTTCAAATTGACAATCCATTTCTCAAAGACTATTATATTTCATAATGATTTTTGTAACCAAAATGTTGAACAATTTGGGACCATCTTATTTCGAACATAGTCTTTCATCATGATATTCACCACCATTTTACTCGAAATAACAATAATTTATATAAATTGAACAAAAAACAAAAACATCATAAATTCTTTGTTTCTCAAGGGCTTTGATTGGTTTAACAAATTACCAAATGTAATTAAAAATAGCTCTTCTCTGACAAGTTCAAAAACGAACTGAAGAAATTTGTTTTTTAATGTATAAATATGATATGTTTGTTACCTGTAGCTACAATTTGCTTTCTTGAGGTATTATCATGCCTATCTTGTTGATCAACTTTAGAATGTATTCATTTAATGTTTGTCATATATATTAAATCATTCCAATTTGTAACAAATATGTAAGAAAAATAGAAATGTATGTAAATTAGCATTTTCTTATTTCAAATAAAGATTTTTATATTACATTATTATTTACAAATACACTTCCATTACAGGCTCGTGGTGAAGTAATCGAGAAACTAATGAAATATGTCCATCCATCTGCTGAAAAATGTAACCCGAATATATAACCTGGCCCAGAAATGATAAATGTAAAACTTTAATCCATGTTCTATTTTCACCCCATAAAAAGGGCCTCGCATATGATGGATTATAAAGACAGCTGTCGAAATTTGAAGGGGAAGTCTGAAAACATCGCCATTATTGGGATATCTATATTTGTTTTAGAATATATCA